GGGAAGCCTGCTTCTCCCTCTCCCACTCCCCCTGCTTGTGTTCCCTCTCTTGCTGTGTCTCTCTCTGTCAAATAAATAAAATCTTTAAAAAAAAAAAAATAGACATGTCTAAGAAATAGAAGAAATTCTTATTTTAAAATGCAGATTCCTGGGACCCCGCTTAAAGATTTGAGGTGGGGCCCAGGAAGGGTTTATTGGAATGTTCAGTTCCCAAGATAGGTGTCGATTTCTAAGGTAAGATCAATTATTGCCCTAAGTTTAACCTTTCTTTTGGGAGCTGATCCCATTGAGAAGCATTGAGTTTTGTTGGAGGCTACAAATGAAAGAGTGTGCAAGTGTTATTAATGATAATGTGGTTTTGGCCAAAGAAAGACTTTTGCTGTGTTTAGCATTTTCCCCCTTATTTGACAGCAACAGCTGGGATGAACATGTATTTGAACTGGTTCTACCTAAAGCTTGTATGGTTGGACATGTGGACTTCAAATTTGTTTTGAACTCAAACATCACCAATATTCCACAGATACAAGTGACGCTGCTGAAAAATAAAGCTCCGGGCTTAGGGAAAGTCAATGGTAAGGATGAATCAAAATTTATATTTGACGATTTTGCAGTTGATTTCTTAAAAAAACTAATTTCAACTTTACTGTCTAGGTTTCACGTCCCTCCCTTGCCTTCCCCCTCCTCTCCACTCTCTTTGCCACCCCCATACTTCTTTTCTGCTCTACTTTTGGTGGTTTTATTTAGAAAAGTTAATTCTAGAATATTTTAGAGGTTTTGGTAGCTCAGTATTGTATAGAATTGCATAAACTAGAATAACTTAATTTTGCTATTTAGGAAATTCAGTTGGTTCCTTTCTGAATTAGTTTCACTTTCATCATTCCTAGACGTACACATTTTTCTTCGTAAGCGGAGGCTTGATTGGGAAAAGAACTTTGTTAATGGAAGTCACGTATTCTTTTAAGATCATTGGTGAAACCTAACCTTTCATGTAATACAGAAACACACCCAGAAATACACCCAACTTTATTTACTTTTCTTACAAGTTCAGAATTTGATATATTGAGTTTTTTAAATAGATTGTATACATTTAGTATGTTGAGAACTAGACGTTACTCATCAGTGTTTTCTCCTTAAGAGGTTAATTGAAAAGGCTGGGATAATTTTAGAGTAAATGGCTGCTTTACACCAGGGAGTAGAAACAGTAAAACCTGAAAAATTTCTTGTTTTCAAAATACATATGTATGTATTTGTGTATATGTGTGTGCGTTTGTGTGTGTGGTGTATTTTTTTGAATCATGGCAGATTCTGATTTAATTGGGTCTAGGGCTTAGGCATTAGTATTTTTAAAACTTTGCAGGTGCTTGTACTCTGCAGCTTAGGGTAAGAACTTTTACTTTAGTTGCCAGCAAATTATTTCTCAGGTGAATATTTTAGTACCATTAAAAGAGAGAAGAGTGTATGAAACGATTAATAGAATCTAATTTTTTTTCTTCTGACAACCATTTTGTAGCATCTGTGATAAGAATCACAGTAGTTCCCAATTTAACAGAAAATTTTAGAATTTCAGGCACATAAATTATTGATATTAAGCAAAATTAAGTTTACTAATATTTTTATCCTCTAGAAACAGCAGTAGATAGGCAGATCACCTTTCCTTTGTCTCCAGCTCTTAACATTGAAGTGGAACAAAATGGGAAACCGTCCCTGGTTGATTTGAATGAAGAAATGCAGCACATGGATGTAGAGGAATCACAGTGTGAGTTAAATTATAGAGCTGTTGTCCATGACAGTAAAAGGAGTAGTGATCCAAATGCATCATGTTGGGCAGAGATTTCCTTATGGCTTGCAAAAACTTGGTTTTAAAAACACAATTAAAAAATAACCTTTAATTTTGCTTTGGCAATATGCTTTAACTTTCAGCTCATCTTTGTGAACACAGCTGCGCTAATACTCGCATTCTTGTTTTTTTAATATCTTGGGATTTAAAATCATGTCATGGTTTTGTAATATTTTTTGATGATCAAGGTGAATGTAAATAATATGGGAATGGAAAGCAACATATAATCAGATATTTGAAAATTTATCAGATCTTTGATTATAGTTCCTTAGCATGATAGTGAATTCTTATTTGAACACATTCTAAGTATGGTATTTTGTGTGGTGGTATTATATATGGGATGGATATTTGCTTATTTCATATTTTTAAATTACAAACTAATTTAAAAGAAAATATGTATTCTTTTTAGGTCTGAGATTATGTCCATTTTTAGAAGATCATAAAGAAGACATTCTGTGTGGACCAGTATGGCTTGCTAGTGGCCTTGATCTATCAGGGCATGCTGGGATGTTGACATTAACAAGCCCCAAACTTGTTAAAGGTGAAGTAACATATTTTACAAAAGCAGATTGAATAATGCCACATTGGAAAAATAGATTTTTTTTAAAACTGATCTCAGAAAAGTAAGATTTTGTTTTGTTTGGGATTTACATTAACAGTTCCATCAGTTTCCTGGTAGCTGAGCTCATTTCCTCTCAGAAGTGACTGTAATTTTATGTGAAACTTCCAATATACTACTTTCTGTGTTTTGGAGGTCTCAGTGCTTTTTGGGAAAGCATTAAAAAAAATGAATATATGGTAACTTAGTGTGATATCGCAGAGCTTTTTTGAGTCATCAGGTGACATATTCTGGCATGGTTGCCTTTCCCATCAACTTAGAGTCCTGTGTCTTTAGTTGTATATTGTTATAATATTTTCCTTAAGAGGGTTTTTAATAAAAGAAGAGTTTTGATAATATCAGATGTAATTATTTGAGTGTCTCACATAAACACATTATGAATTAATGTATATTAATAATTGGCTATTATTTAGAGGATTGATATTGCAGTAGTAGGACTTTTATATATCAGCTTTTGTATCCCAGGGTAAATTTAAAAAGCCAACAAACAAAATACCTAGCTCCATTATTAAAGTTATTTTGGAGGTGTGGTGGGATATGTAGTTCTTCCTCAAACCAGGAAAATACCTGACCACCCAGATAACAACTATTTTAATTTGTATATATTCCCTTCATATCAGTTGTCTACATTTACATATTTACCTTTAGTTGCAGACATATATAGAAATTTTAATGTGTTCTCTTGACTACACCCTGATTCATTTATTAAGTTTATGAGATCCTGTAGTGTGTTACGCTGCATATTGGGGTATAGCAGTCAGCAAGACTAATGAAATCTCTCATATTGCTGCAAGTATAAGTTACCTTTGTTGAATGATGATGTGAAACTTAAATTTGTATATGAAAACAAAGATGTTGGCTTTGACAAAATGGAGAATGCAATTAAATGACATGCATTTCAGTAGACTCAACTCAAAAGTATTAATTTTTCTAGAATTTACCAAGAATGATTTTTTTTTCTCACCAAATTCTTCGAAAGTCTTTGGAACTGGAGAAAATGATTGCTTAATTTTTAGAGGAAAAGGATGATATGGATCAAAGAAGTTTGGAAAAAGAAAAGAGAGAGAGAGGGTCTTGTCAGATACTAGAACATAGAATAATAATACAGCAATAAGAGTATAACAGTGTAATGCTAGCACAGTAGGCCGGCCAATCAGTGGGAAACAAGAAAGATAGTTTTTGTAATTAGAGAAAGATTTAATACCTGCAAGGTACCAATAGGCTGATGGTTTACTGGTGAGTGTATTATTTTGAGGGTATTTTTACAATATATTTTACTTAGATATGTATGGTATGGTCTTAATTTAGTTAAAAGAGAATAAAATGTACTGGTGGTAATAACCAATATTTATTGAGTGCTCTCTTTGTGCCATGCACAGTTGTGTTTGAGTTGTCTTTGAGGTAGGTACTGTTATTACTCCCATTTTACATTTGAAAGAATCAAACCACAGGAGATTAATTTGTCACATGCCTAATAAATGGCAGAGCCATTATTCAAACCCAGGTAGTGACTCCAAAGCCTGTGCTTTTTCATATCTTAATACTGCAGTGCTTATGTATATGTGTGTGTGTGCATGCATGCATAAAAAGACGAGATGGATTCACATAATGATACCATCATTATCTGTGGGTAGTGCCTTAAAGATAGTTTTTTTGTGTGTGTTTTTCTGTAGTTCACAAAATGTCTGTTATTAAAATGAATAATTTCATTGGGGAAAAATATGCAAAATGTTTGTAACAATTAGAATTTTCTGTCTTACAGTGTTTGTATAACTCCTGGGCTTTTTGTTCTTTTGCTGCCAACATATGAAGGTTATTTGATGATTATACTCAAACAGTATGATTTGAAAATTCCAGTCAAGTGTACTTTTCTTGTGGAATTAACTTGCTCTACGAAGATGAAAAACAATTTGGTCTTTTGGTGATTTAGTTATTTTTCCCATTCTGTGCTGCTCCTCAGGTATGGCAGGAGGAAAATATCGTTCCTTTTTAATCCACGTCAAGGCAGTGAATGAAAGAGGAACAGATGAGATCTGTAATGGTGGTATACGCCCTGTAGTAAGACTTCCATCCCTAAAACACCAGAGTAACAAGGGTTATTCACTTGCTTCACTCTTGGCAAAAGTCGCAGCAGGCAAGGTATGAAGCAGTGTCATTTTGAACCACAACAATGCTGTTATAAACGTTATGGACAAGATTTGACACACAATTGGAAGTAGTATGACCCTTCATTGATTTTTCAATAGATACTTGGTTTGTTTATAATTTTTCTTTGCAGTGACTTTAAAAATGTAATTAAGAAGAATATATTTTGAATTAACTTTAAGCAAATGTTTATAAAGTATACTCAGAAGAGAGTAATTGTTAGCAGATACTTCCCTTTATGATTATTTTAGGCCATAATACTTATTTAGGTTTTAGAGTTTATGTCTGTGTCTTTTACTGGTAACTCACCACTTTTTTTTGGTAAACATTTGGGAGGATGCAGGAAGAGAAGTTGGGGAGTAGTGTTAGAGATAAATCCTAATTTCAAGGTTGATTTTCTACAAGTAACTGTGTACCATGCAGTCTCTTCATAATTGTCTGATCTTGGATTTTCCTGAACTCTGGAGATTTTTGTTTCTCTATCATCATTATTCATAAGCAACAGTAGCAATATCAGTAACACCAATCATCTTATATTTGTATAGGTCTTCCAATTTTTCAAGGACTTCTGTGTACTTTATCTGATTTAATCCTCAAAATAACTCTGAGGTAGGCAGAGCAGGTGCTACTATTATCTCCATTTTTCATACTGAAAGTGAGTGAACTTTAGAGATTGGGGAGCGGTCATATTTCATATCGCTTATAAGTGCTGTGGCTGGGACTTGGTCTCAGGACTTTGGCTTTCTAATCTTTAAGCATTGGGTTAGTGACTTTGTTTTTTTCCCCATTATAATTCTGGGGGAATTTAGTCATTTACTGAATATGAGGGTAAAGGCTGTCATTTTAATTTGATACATATGTTTTGATAGTCACAATTCACTTATTTTCTTTTTTAAAAACTTTAAATAGTAAATAATTTTTTAGTTTTGTTTGTTTGTTCATTGAGTTATTTGTTTTTATATGTTTAGGAAAAATCATCTAATGTTAAGAATGAAAATGCAAGTGGTGCCCGCAAATCTGAGAACCTCCGGGGCTGTGACTTACTGCAAGAGGTCTCAGTCACCATTCGGAGATTTAAGAAAACTTCAATTTCTAAGGAAAGGTAACCTCATTTCCTTCTCTTTCTATTCTTATAGTAATAAATGTACAAAAGAAGAATTCTAGGAAAATACAACACATAAAATTTTTAAGTCTGACTTTTACTTGAAAATTTTTGTTTGCTTTCCATTTTACTTAAGTACTTATAATCTCAGTGAGGGTATGAATTACCTTTCTACTTCATAATATATATAAAGTGCTTTGGAGTATATCAGGAATATTGTATTTGTATAAATAATGGTATTTGTGGAATGAGGAAAAAAATATAATTTGAGGTTTTATTCACTCTTCGTCAGAATATAATACGTTATTAAACTTAATTTCTTTTATTTTTTAAAAGATTTTATTTATCAGAGAGAGTGCACATGAGCGTGGGTAGGGAGGCAGAAGAAGCAGACTCCCCGCCGAGCAGGGAGTCTCACGTGGGACTCGATCTGGGATCATGACCTGAGTCGAAGGCAGATGCTTAACTGACTGAGCCACCCAGGCGCCCCAAACTTAATTTCTTTTAAAACTTTCTGTGAACCAAGTATTGCTTATATGCTGTTTTAAATCTTTTAATACCGTAACATTAATAAGAGATCAACATTCCATTGTAATATTTAATTTTCAAAAAAAAATATTTTTAATTGTGATATTCATGATTCACAATGAAATATATGGCCAACCAGGTTGTGATAGCTTTAGTCTAACTGTTCTGTTTTGGTTGTTAATGTATTTATATTTTCTTTTTTTTAGAGTGCAACGATGTGCTATGTTACAGTTTTCAGAATTTCATGAGAAGCTTCTTAACACTCTTTGTAGAAAAGCAGATGATGGCCAAATCACAGAACATGCCCAGAGCCTTGTGCTGGATACCCTTTGTTGGTTAGCTGGAGTACATTCAAATGGACCTGGAAGGTTAATAATTAAGATTTTACTTAACACTGTTGATTGCCCTTTGGATGTTATGAATAGAAGTTCAAGATGAGTCTAAATGTCTGCTATTGTTTTGCAGCTCCAAAGAGGGAAATGAGAGCCTGCTTTCAAAAACACGAAAATGTCTTTCAGACATCGTGCGTGTTTGCTTCTTTGAGGCAGGACGAAGCATAGCCCATAAGTGTGCCCGATTTCTAGCTTTGTGCATTAGGTTGGTGGTTTTTTGTTGTTGTTGTTGAAAGTCCAGTTTGTAGGTGCGCTTGCAGTTTGGCAGGTGATAGCTGTGTCTGTACTGTAATTTGATACTTATCGAATGAATGTATAACAAGAGGATTTTCAAAAGTTGATGAGAGTTATTGAGATACTAAGAAAGAATTTCAGGTTTTTAGGAGAAAATGTCATCTTGCAAAGTCTTTTTTTTTTTTTTTAAGATTTT